GACATGTTGAGGTAAATAGAAGGGTTCAGAATGAGTTATACAGCAACAGGATATGGATTCTGGGTGGATTGCTCCAAAACATGATCCGGTTTTGCGTACTAATAAAGAGATGACGTTATCTGTCCACTCTGCAGTACAAGGCAAGGTTGCACAAAGTAAATCATCACATAATTTTGAAGAGCATAGGAAAGTCTGGCACCCTACCACAAAAGTAGTCATCTTGCCAGGAGCTATGCCATCATTACATGCAGATCAAATCGTAAACTTCTTGAAAGAGGGGCTCAGCGGTGCCTTCTAAGACTACAGCAAGAGGCTAGCGCATAAACTGTCCACCAACAAGCCAAAGAACAGCCTGTCTGAGCATCATGGGATTCTTCTAAGGAGCCAAGGTGAAACATGTAATCTTCTGTAGACTCCCGATGTTGAGGAGTCAGACTGATGCAGCACAGCAGCTTAAATACTCTTCAGCAACGTTATCGAGGATCCAGAATGTCAGAAAGGCACGTTCTAGCTGCAATCACTCAGAAAAGCCTATTCTGAAACAGAAATCATACAGCTCAAGCTCCTCAAGAACAGCGGCAGCCTTCGAGCCCGCGCGTTGCCACTCCTCCGCGTCAGAGCTATGGTCCTACTACCCTCCTTCGTATCAAACTGAATACTGCATATTACTGCTCCTGCTTTTCAAGTCGTATTGCAATCAGGGTCTTCATTTGTATGATCATTAATCTCGCATAGACATTAAGCCTGTGGAAAGTGCGGCCCCCCGTCTTGTGCTTTTACAGGTCGCAATGCCTTGCACAGAGAATTCCATGATCACCAGTAGCGCTACTAACTCCAGATGGTACCAGCGTCTTGACTTGAAAACTTTGAGAGCAACTGCGAAATTTGTTCAGGACCCATGCCACTCCTTCAGAACCTCCGTAAAGAATTGTTTTCAGAAGGCACCCGAAGTTTGCCAAATTCCTGATTATCAGGTGTTCTTTCTTGCATGAACCCTACACTGCTACTGCTGTCAGTAGCATCTGCTCTCGCCTGAATCTACTGCTGCGATTGTTGTCGATGGTATCGCTACTAGGCTATCACCATAGTTGGTACAAGTTTGCTTGTTGTACACCCGAGCACCAACCCCTGAACCCCGAAACTGAAAACATGTGGCCCAACCCACTCTCCTCAACCTGTTCGGCAGTTGGCTTCGCCGCCGATGGACTGGACGCTGGGGCTGATTGCGCCTGCTTGCGGTGAGGGCTTAGGGTTTGGGCTGAGGGTTTCCAGCTTAGGCTTTGCAGTTTCAGATTGGTTTTTTGCCTGGGATTGGCTCCAGCCTCAAAACTATCACTCTGCAAGCTACAGGATTGTTCCTAAGTGATGTCTTCTTGATGGATGTCCCCACCTGCAGTCATTTGCAATGAGTATGCTGGCTGCTGAAGGGGATTCACCAGCTCAAGCAAGAGGGCCTTCTCCGGCCCATCGCTCATGGCGCGGAAGGCAAGAATCCTACGAATGGTTGGCGGCCCATGCCAAAATCCCGCACCAAGTTCTCACGTCTCTGCTTGCCAGTCTTCACACTAACATGATGTCCTGCAATATCTGTGTTCTCTTGTATAGCTTTGCAGGGACCATACTACCCAGCTTCTGATGTCTGTGTGATCTAAGCGTTTGGCTGGGCACCCGTGGCCGAAAGCACAGCAGTCAGTCAAATATATGGGCAAGATAAGTATCCTCATGATCCCCTTAAAAAGGACCCCTAATTGTGGGTACTTTTAGAGACTCTAACCCCTTTCATCCCCTATATGATCCCAGTTTCCATGTTCTTTTCTATGTGATTTTCTTTTTTCTAAGGTCATATAGTCTAAACTCCTACTATCCCCCTTAATAACCCCTATACTACTGTACTCCCCTTTATAATCCTCTACATAACCCCGTTAAAGGATTTTCGACTACATTACACATTATGCGAATCCAGCAAGGCACAAGGCCAAGCATTTGAAGCAGGTGCAAGAGCTTCTTTTGGACTTCCTTTGGCCAGTGACAGTCTGCGAAAATCGATTGCGCATGGGCGCGCCTGTAAGGTGGGCTGGGAATGACAACAAAGGTGTGCGAGATTTCTGTCGAAACTTTGGATTTGGGTCACTTATCATTCAATTACACCAAACAGAAATTCGAGAGTCATTCCCGCAAAGAAGCTATCTGCAGCTTGACGATCTCATACAGAAGCATGTACCTCAGGGCATGATCAAGGTGACGCCGCACAGCATCGCTGTTCCCCGCAACGCAAAATGTGATCCTCATCCCAGCCCGAGCGCACACTCCATGACTCGGAGCAAGGTGGAGGATCCGCCTGGGCTTCGAGGCCCCTGATTCGCACATCTTATTGAGGGACCAGGGAAGTCATTTGGGGAGCTGAGTTCTTGGAGTAGAGCCTTGGGGCGGGCTGCGGTGCAAGGACAATCAGGCAAACAGGGTCATGCTATCAGCACTTCTTCCTTATCTTCCTTATATAAACTCAGTTGTCACATAAAGTTCAGGTTCATTTCCATTCGATTCTCTTTTCTTGGGCCCCATATTCCTACCCTTCTTCCCACGTTGTTTATGGACTTTGCCTGGACTCACGTGCTCTCGACATTGCAAAGGCTGCCATGCAGATAGACACAACTTAGCGGGCACAAACCTGGACCCTCTCAGGCCGTGTAGGGCTTAGGGTTTGGGTTCAGAGTGAGGTTGTGAGGTTAAAGGTTTGATCTTCAATGTCTAGGGGTTCGGGTTTACATAGCTTTCGATGTCCAGCATGCATGACCTCTACCGAGGAAGAAGCAGCTTGGCCAACATCTGCAATGCAGGCCTCATATATCTGCATGAACGTACCTTTGCAAGTTTTGTAAGAACGCAAGACGTTCAAATTCGTCCCCTCCATATACCAAGGACACATGTCCCCCATTACATGCCACCACCTAAGCACCTGGAACTGAGCCAACGGAACGATGAACAAGGATGTCTAAGACATGTAAACAAGTGTTTCAAAACCTGCCCGGTATGACAGCTGGGTGGCGCGCCAGGTCACCCCCTGCCAAAAGGCAGCAAGGCCCTCGAGGCCTGGGGATGCAAACAAATTCTCTTGCATCTTGTGAAGTCCTCCTTCTGTGATGCTGGTTTTATGTTTCAATTTGCATTTTAAGTAGCAGTAGCATCGTCAATTCATGTGGGCCAGAGCTTTGGCTTCACACATCCAGGCACACATAACCCCAGTCATATCCAGCCATATCCAGCCATGACAGAAACATAGAAACGGAGCATGATCTGCCCATTGAGGCACCAACTCCAGATGCTCCGCACAGTTTCAATGATGCCTGACAGGCACAAAGGCATCGGTGACAGCCCTGCAGCTCTTGCAATGCGCAATGCTTGCCTGGAGGACTTGTGCCTGCAGGCCGACCAAGAATTCCTCAGCGGATTTGTAGCGACTGGTGCGGCAGCCAGAACTGTCCAGCAGAGCCTGAAAGTGCTGTTTCTGGTCTCAAGTTGTGATTTAGCCCGCTGCTCGTCTTGACCACATCAAGTGGGTTCGTCACCTCGGAATTTGTTCTATGAAGGCTCTGCCATATCTGCCGCCGTTCTGCCTAATCCTTCATGTGAGACGTGCAGCTGATGCACAAGCTGGAAACAAATAGGGCGCACACTGCCGCCGTCAAGGTGCCAGTCCCAACCCCCAGCGCAAGGTTCTCGTACGCCTCAGTGCATGAAGCTGAAGGCTTGCAAATCTCAGGTCCCCTTAACAAGATGAAATCCTGTTGAGTGCCATGAACTTCACATCAACTGCTGAACCCCGCGGCTGCAACTCAAACGCCATGAGTCCTGAAACCTACCAGTAAGAACCTGATCAAGCATCCACCAACCTCTACACTTTCATGACTCTTGGCAATCACCTTTGGGGACCAGAGTGACACTCAGATTTCCATCACAAAAACACAATGTTCACACAGGTGTCCATCCTATCCATATCCGGGCTCAACTTTAGGCTTCGGAGGTACATCACCTAAAACCATTAATATGCGTACGCTAAGAGCCACGAGTACAAAGGACTGCAGCATATAAATGATGCAAACCGCACACATAATGTATGCATAATCAAATGCACGTGCATTATCCTGGCCATGACTTCAGTGTTTCTCTACCTGCTCTGTAAGCACGCAACTGGCAGGTCCGAGGAGCCGCGGACGGAAAACAGCCACTGCCTTCTCGCAGAATCGTGGCATTAAGGGTCAATATGTTCTAGGGTTAAATGCTGAAGGGAACCAGCGTTTGGGGTTTCCGAGTTCTGGTTTTAGGTTTGAGTTTTTTTGACACCACTCCACACCTTTTCTCCAGTGCCAGCATCAGCTAGGGGAGTTTGCAGCGATCACGCAACTCAAAAGAGGGAGGGTTAAGGGGTTAGGGTTTGGAGTTTTGGGGTATTGAGGGAGACTGGAATTGCAAGGGCTAAGCCCAATAAGATGAGTGTTCAACAACAATCCAGGTTTGTTGGCTCTTTCAAGGAATGATGGGGAATGAAATCGCACTTCTGCATTGGCTTCAGCTGGTAACCAGAGGCTCTGCACTTTGTGTTGCAATACGCTACTTCTCAGTCCTAGGTGTAAAAGCCACGGCTGGCGGCCCCAACTTCCACAACAGAACAGGAGAGAACACGAAATCTTCGAGAGGAGTCTGTGACGGGAGGGGAGTACATAACGACGGGGAAGATATGGGACCAATTTGCCCGGCCCTTGGACTTCTCTGCAAGCTGAATCAACCAAACATCTCTAAACTTCCTGCTGTCCCCTGAAGCCTCAGTTAACAGTGTGGTCGACATGTTCGCTAGGGATGTAGATCCATGTAAAGCAAAAGAAGGTTGCTACCGCAGCAGCTGTTGGAGCTATAAGCGAACCCCTGCCCTGCCCACGAGCTCGAGAATCTCCAGTGCCAAGCGTTTTTGATCATTTCCTACGGCTTGAAGAATAGGCCCAGTCTCACTTTTGCGAGACCTTGATTTGATGATGTCCAGACCCAAGCCTGCTCGACTCGAAGATGAGCCACCCACACGCGCTGTAGGAGCAGTCGTGCAGGACAGTTTGCGGCCTTGGTCATAGCCGTGGACTATTACTTCTATTTTCAATATCGTTACTATCATTAATGTTAGCCCCTGCAACACTAGCACAACGCCTCGCTTCAGGGTCTCTACTACTCCAAGGAACATGGGGCCTAAACCCTGTAAGTGGTAACTATTGGCTTACTTTGGTAACTGTTGGCTTGTTAAAGGCTTAGAGCTGTTTCAGAATACAAGTGCAATCAGTTACAGTACAACTACCTTCACGTTCTTGCAGCAAAGCAAAACTCGCTAAAGGAAACTCCTTGAGGCGCGAGGCAGGAAGCTTCCGCGATAAAGGCTTTTGAGGTCCATGCCCAAGTCCTGGCCAAGACGAAGGGATGAGACCCAGGGCTCCTACGGCTAAAAAGGACATTACATAGGGATTTCATATCGGAAGATCTAAATGCATCGGAGGGGTGTGCATGCACACCAACGTCTACATAGATATTTGTGCGGACGGATAAACCTGTACATGCACAGATATGCCTACATATGTATGTGTGTGTAATATAGAAAGAAAACAAGGTAGAGGACTGCTAGTGGAGAGTGGAGAGAAACAGCCATGCCATGGTATGTACTGTGCACTCCTTGAAATCTGCACCTGTAACCCGCCCAACTCCTGGCCCATCAATGCTTCAAAGGCATGATCCCGTACTACAGGTCTGTTATCCAAGCCAAGAAGTCCGAGCCGAAACCCTCAGCCAGACCCTGAACCCTTAAACTCTAGAGCCGCAAACCCTAAACGTAACAAACTAAATCCTCAACCCTACACGGCCATGCCCATAAGCCTTGAAGGCGTGCCACGTGTTGCGGTAAGCGCCGAGTTGAAGCCTCAGCTTTGCCACCTGCCGAGGTTTGGGGACTGAAGTGGTTGAAGGCAGCTGAAGCGCAATTGTGCGCACATTCGATGTTCTATTCCCTCTCCATGCATCCAGGCACGAGCATCAATGCGACAAACATCCTGCCAGACATTCTTGCCTCCATGGGGAGGCGAATCACGGAGCCAGCAACCTGGCTTACTTCCAGAGTACAGGGATGTTGATAGCTCCTGGTTAGATAGCAAACACAGTAGAAACAAATGATGCAGCCACATGTGCTCTCCAATCCCTATATAATCCCTATACAGTCCATAGAAAGTCCATAAAGTCCCTATATAATCTCAATAAAATCCCTATATCCTCCCTATATTCCTATATAATCCCCATACAATCCCTGTATAATCCCTGTAGAACCCCTATTACTATATAATGTGGTCACACTGAACCCGAGGCAAACAGAGAACACCCGGCGTCACCTCGGCAACCACGCCAGCCGCCACGAAGGTCAGCCCCGAGTCCCCAAAGGGCCTCGGGCCTCCAAGAGATTGGTTATATATTGTATGTATAATATACGATGATATGAGGATAATGGAAAAGAAAATGGAAACTACTGTAGGGATAGAGGTTACATAGTGTAGGCCTAATGTAGGGTTATATAAGGATTATGGAAAAGAAAATGGAAACTACTGTAGGGATTCTATTACCCCAACAACGGAGAATCAAATGGAAAAGAACATGGAAAATTACATAGAGACTGGGATTACATAGTCTGAACTACTGAAATGGGGTTATATAGGGGATTATATAGGGATAATGGAAAGGAAATTGGAAGCTACTATGTAGGGTTTAGGGTCTAAACTCATTAAAGGGCGTTATATAGGGGATTATATAGGGGAGTATTATAAGGGCTAGCAAGGGGGATACAAGAAGTTTAGACTGAAGCTCAGAGGGGATGGCTTGGGACTATGTTGTTGTCATGTGAGGCTATACCACTCCCCGAAATGCAACTCCTGCCAGATGGTTCCTGGAAAGAGTCTCAAATGGTTTCCATGGAGTGGAAAGCCAAGTCGATCTACGTCGAACACATGATAATTGGGCCAGCCCGCTATCCGAAGAGACTGGACATGGTCCACAGCCTTTTGACAGGACATCGCGAGCGCTGATGTAGGCGCTCATGTACACCGCCTGGCCGACAAGGCGCTGAGCTGCCAAGGAAACAGAGCATACGGTGATTTACTTGCTCCTGACTTCTTGCGAATCCAACCTACATCCGTGTACGGAAGGATGCTGTACTGATGACATCACTCCAAATGTCTCTTGAGCTGCTAGAGCATGTCCAAACTGCAAACTTGGGGCCAAACACGAAGCCAGCAATCCAAGCCCCAAGCCTGGTATGGGGAGTACAGCAGAAGCTTGGCTGCCTGGGTGGAGCAGCCATGATTTGCCCAACCCTACATTGATGGCTATGGCTATGACGGTTGAGAGCATGTGCAGAAAGATTGACATGTCAATCATTCAAGATTTGCCCCAGCCCGCTCCCGCGGAAAGGACACCCTCTATGGGGCCCAGGCAACACCACGGTAGACCCCAGTGAAGGTGCGCAAGTGCCGGAACTCCCCAGTTTCTCCGAAGCGGCGTGCCTGTCTGCGCCAGGCTTCAGATGCCTCGCCGACCCCCACTACCAGGACTGTGCCTGCTTCCTGCTCTTCCATGTGTCCAAGGGGTACAGGGCGAGCTTGGTTGCCTTGGCCAAGCTTTGCGATTCACTCAACAGCCCAGCGCAGACCTTGAAGCTACATCTCCTCTGTGTCCGCGGCGGCTTTTGCAACGCTGCCTGCAACTGCCTGGTCACCGGCCGTCAGCCTGCAAAACAGCAGAAAGCAAAGGTGCGGGACAAAAGCAGCATCAAAACCTGCTTCTTCCATAGTCACAGTAAAACACTCTGCCTTGAACTGTGCTCCAGAATTACGACTATCACTACTGTTGCTCTTACTAGGCAAGGTCCCCAGCTTTGCATCGCTGTTCGGTTTGACGAAGCCGCGCTGGCTGGTTTCGGAGCCTGCACGTGCTCCAGTGCCGACAGGTACAAGAAAGCCCAAGTCATACGTAGCTTCATGCTTATGCTGGGCCCCCGTGCCGGATACTGGTTCTGGCATTGGCCAGTAGCCATGGGCTGGACAGCTCTCTGCGTTGGGTTGCCTGAACGAACTAGCTGAAAGATACTGGGAATCAGGCTGCCGTCATATGAGGCCCCCAAAGAAAGTAGACCATCCATCGAGAGGCACTGCCCTCTCATGAACAGGCTCGTTGCTGTCTGCGCCTCTTTGGGCAGCTGCTTGATCGACGCGCTGAAGCCACGCTTAGCGAGCCGCGAATAGCACATGTTCACTTTCGTGGATCACCCCTCTCAGAGCCGGCATAGCCGCGTTCTTGCATCTTTTCGGGTTCTGGAGGTGTCTAGCGCGGTGCCGCTGACAAAGATTTCAAGATCAGCAGGGTCACAATTCTTGAGCTTGGGGGGATCACGGTGCCACCCGCCAAAAGCAATGCAGAACTAGTGACCTTGAATGTCCACCATCTACCACATAGGAAACGAAACCCTTGTGCCACAACCTGTCAAACCCTGCATGCGTTATGAGTCCTTCGTTGAAACTAAAGCTGCAGACTCCACGTATGATGGTTGCTGTGTTCACCGTGTTCCCCATGTGGGGAGCTTAAAGAAGCCTTCAGGCCGGCGGAGCCTCGGTCGGAAGTAGGCACCATATTTCACAGCCTTCAAACAGCCGCCCAAACCACTAAGCCTGTGAGGCATCTCCTAGGATGCCGCTCAGCCCCCGCATGTTCCCCACAGGCAAGTCATCACTAGTAAGGACCCCAAAGACAGACACGTACTTCTGAAAAACCGAGACCCCGCGCTGCCTAGATCATTATGGTCCCGTCCCTTCGAAGTCCTTATGTAACAATATCTTCCTCACTTTGCTGGGAACCCTTCCCTCCATGCCAGGAAAGGCTGCCTCTTCCGTCTGCTGCTTCGCCCGGCCGCGAGTTGCAGCTTCAAAATCCTAACCTATGAGGCCTGGTCATCTGATGATATGGGTTGTTCACAAAATTATGGGCAGTTTTCGGTTATCGATTATATAGGGAACCAAAATAGGACCCTAATTTTGAAAGCTAACCAGATTTCGTTCACGCATCTGGGTTGCATCAAGGATCTCATGTCTTCATGGCTTAATGACTTTGGGCTTAGGCGACGGCATTTCAATGCCTCCCTTAGCGGCTTGTCTACGAAGATGTAAGCCCCCGGTTTGGTGGGGGGTCCTATTCATGAGGATCTGATTCTTTTGAGTGCACCCAAACTTGGGGAAATATTTATGCGATTCAGCGAGATGAAAAAGAACAAAAGCTGCAAGCAGTAACAATGATAGCTATGACAACCTGGTGGCTTCCAGAAAAGCATGCTCCATACAAACCCAGACGAAGAATGAGAAGAAGAATTATGAAGAGAGTAACATGCATCGTACTATGACGAATGCTGACAAAGCACAGTGTAAGTATGCTGCGCTGACTGTTTGATCATTGAAGCAACTCCTGAAGCAAGACAAGAAGTCCTCTGCATCTGGATTGCCGTGCAATTGCCAAAGGACAGACAGCCAGGCCTCATCCTAAGCTGATGTCCCATAACTGATGGCGACGCTCCCTTTGCTGTGCTGAACCCCTGCCCTGGCAGAACAACGTAGAAACAGAACATGTGAATCTACCGACTTGGATATGACCTTGTGGTGATGTACGTAGTGGTGCAGACTCCACATATCTCTGAATACTCTACTTCTTCTTGATCATGCGTGCTCATACGTAAAATCCATGAGCACCAAGATCTAGTGCTTAGTCGGAGCACGTCACAACACCTTCCACAAAGATCTTGGTCTTTCGACTAACTTTGGAGTTCTGTCAAGGGTTTTTTTCCCAGGGAGGTCGCCATCCCATCTCCCCCAAAACAGCGGGCTTAGCTTCCCTGCAGCGCCAGTGAAACAGCAGCACGAAGAAAGGCCCAGCACGCTTGCGGCTTTTGGATTTTTGGCCCCTGCCTGGGGGAGTTTACGGTAAGGACCTGTTGGGCATGCGGTACAGTTCTCGTGAAACATGACGACGCGAAGACCGTTGTTGGAAACGATAAAAGACCACACGTGTAGCAAAGGCGATGATCGTCAAAATCTTGGTGCAGTAAACAGAAATCGTGAGAATCGAAGAGGATTATACAGAAAAATCAATGGGATCTTGTCCTCCCAGCCGCGGAGCTGGGCCAAATATGGCAGGGCGGTTCTGTATCAGAGATGGCGAGCAAGTTGTCACATTGCAGCTCCAATTGCATAGGGTCGAACACACTCCGACATCTCTCCGAGATTATGGACAGGTGTTGTCCACAGGGAAAATGTTGCCAAGCCCTTACTTCAAAATCCAGGGCCTAGCAGAAATTGTCGCATGTTGCGGTCTGAGCTCCTGACTGTGCAGAAAGCCTCCGCTTCAGAGTAAGCCCAGATGAAAACGAGCTTCGTGATGCCAGCTAGAAGTACTGTCAAATAAAGATAGAACACCAAACCCGTCTCGCGGAGATCCAGTCATGTGCACATGTAGCGGAAGCGCTGAAGGCCATGTGAGTTGGAATATATTTCTCCGACACCATACAACAGTTGGAACATCAGTATCTCCTTGCATCCCAGGGGTCCCATGTCTTACAAAGAGGGAACAGCAGCGCAAGACTTCCCGTGTCCATGTTCCAACTTTCTGTCCACTGCTGTATGCTATAGTCAGAATACGGAGCTTCACCAAGCGTAGAAGACTTTTTCATTCAGGTCTACGTTACCCCTAAGCCCGTCTTCCTGGACGTCAAAACCTTCTGCGATGAACGCCGACTGCGTGTCTCAGTTTTCGTCTCAGACCTGCAGTGGCTGGGTTTTCTCACAAAAGGAGTAGCTTCCAAGGTATTTAGGGATGGATGGGAACACTATGGGAACTACAAAGAATCAGCGTTCCTCAACAGCACACCAAGGAGACCTTGAAATTGGTTTTGTGAAATGGGATCTCAGCCACTCTACGAGCATCGTGCCTCCTCTTCAGACATGTGCTCTTATTCCTGGTATACTGCATGCCCCGCAGTCCTAAAAAAAGTCAGGTAGCCCCCTGTCAATAAGAAAACCAAATATGAGAGGCGCAGTACGGATCCTGTAGTTTGATCTTTGCAAACAGGCCAGGCAGATCTACTTCTGCTGCCTTGAAACCCCGAGCAGTCGATCAACAATTACTGCCACATCCACCTCTCCCACACTTTCTTTGACAAGCGCCGCGGGCACGCGGCAAACAGCCCCCTTTCAGTCTGAGTTCAATAGAAGCAGCCCATAGCCCCATCTTGACCAAGAAACCAGACATCTAGACATCTAGCGAAAACTTGGATGATCAAACTGGGCACTGCGCAGTCTCTCCAATCAAGCCCCGTACTCCTGGATCCTAATTCCTCGATCTCACACCCAGAAGCGCAGCAAGCAGAATAGTCATTCGAGCCAGAATTGAAGGAAGGTGCACTTCAAGAATTGCCATACACAACAATGAAGCAATGATAGACACAAGAACAAACGCTAGTCACTATGGCTCATGATATATCGAAGTCAGGAACGGAACTGCGGCTCATAGCACCACTTGTAGCACTGTTGCTGCCAAGCCAGCAGCTTGGCAACAATTAAACCAGAGATGAGAAGCTACTTTTAAATATTGGTCATTTTGCAACCAGCGCTCCTCTATGTTCCGCTTATATACCATCAAATTACAGAATCCTTTTTGCAGGGACTCGCAAAAATGGACCCCTTGGAAAGCTTGGAACCCCATTGAATCATGCTACCACATGGCACTACCAGCACTGGCATTACTTGGAGGGCCAGGGGGACTTGGGAAGTAGATTAGTAGTTAGGATAACTAGGGTTACTTTATGAGTTATAGGGGTTTCTAAGCTACTTACCAAGTCCCCCTGACCCTAAACCTTCGACCCTAAATAACAATAATAAAGATCATAACACTAATAGTAATACGAATAATTAACAATTTGTATAGAGTAGTTTCCATTTTCTGTTCCTTCATTACTGACTCACCCTAAACCCCAAACTCAAAATCAGATATAGTAGTTTACATTTTCTGTTCCATTCATTATTACTAAGTCCCCCTGACCCGAGACAGCCGCGCAGGCCTCGGCTGCCTGCGTGGCCACGAAGGTGGGGCCGGTTCCACTGCTGAAGGAGGCGGGGGCCTCAGAAGGGTTTAGGGTTTAGGCTGGCGGAATACGTTATAACAGAGAGAAAAAGCAGGGGCCTGGGTTCAAGTATGTGAGCTACAGTCTAAACTCCTAGTATCCCCTTTGAGGAGTTTAGACTGTGGCTCATGTAGCTTCTTTTGATCCATTTCTGTGTGGCAAGGTTATGCTGAAACTACTTCTTCATCCAGAACATGTGCATCAGAGTCTAGGCATGCAACCCACAATGTAATTAGTTACTACGTCAAAACGGCTTGGCCTTTGCTGGCTTTCAGAGCACCTGTGACAATCTACCCAAAGAAACCATGACATCCGTCAAAGACTGGATTCCATAAGCTGACCATGATTTTGGCAGCTGCTCTTGGGTTCAGACCTGCGAGCTGCTGCTGGACCTTGGAATGCAAGGGTCTTGCCGCGCTGGGAGCCAGAGGATCTATCTCTTGTGTGTACCTGCATAGGATTCACTCATGCTTGGGCCATTGATGCGTGCCAGACAAAGGTTCGGCGTGAGGCTGCGGCGCACTGGATCCGCGCACCAGAGCACGCGCATTGGCAGCATGCCTCAGATAGCATTTAAAATGCCCGAGAGCCGTGCCCAAAAACCGCAGCTTCTAAGCTGCGGCGTGAATCCGAACTCTTTATAGAGCAGCATCACACCACACCACGTCTATGCCTGTTGACCTCGCAACTCCAGGCCCGGGACGTAGGTTCATACTGCTCGAATTGGGCCCAGATCGCGTCCACGTCAGCTGGGGACAGTTGCCTCCCAGAACTAGGAGCAGGAAGGGCTTTAAGGGCTGAGCGGCACTACTAGTTACTAGTAGTGTCCGTTTCTATCATGACTCGCCTTCTGTGCTACCCTGTATGGATACTGCCTCACATTTATACTTGGACATCAAGTCAAACAGCAAAAATCCCGCATCCCGCGTTTGAGTCTCAGATGCCTGCCAGCAGCCTGGCGCATCAAAAACTCCTGCACCCGCGGCTTTTGCTGCTGAAACTTTCCCCAGCGATTGAGCATTGCTGCATTTCTAGGCCAGCGTGAATCAACCCCATCTCAGAGACCTGTGACCTTCAGCAGTAGCACTTATGTCTGCTGCTTGCGGCTGTCTCGCAGCAAACCTTTCACTTTCAGATCTGGTTCATCGTGCGACAAACCTGCTCATCAACATACCAGTAGTAAGGCTAACAACTACTAACAACTGTGGTTCTCTTACCTACAAGCATGATTCCTCGCCCTTCATACCAAACACCCCCCACGCAAACATTACGGAGTTCTCATACTATTGCAAAGATGTGTCTTGTTTCCCCGGTCCTGCCAGTTCTGCAGCGCAACCTCCCAATGTAACATGATAGTAGCTGTGCATGTTGCGCGGGCAAATGATAAACTGAGGATTCATGGTAGCAGACAGCACGAATACCAACAACTGCAATTATTCTATCTGATTGAAGGAGGCCAGGTAAGCATTTGTGGAAAGATGGTGATGCCTGTAGATTCGGCTTCTCAGTCATTGTGCAGTGACCATTAACCTCGATGGCTCTTGGAGAGACCTCGAGGAACAAAAAATCAAATCAAGGGCCCCATGCACAACGATGCTGTCATACCCTACCCCCAGCCAATCATTCTTTTCAACACTACTTCTTTGAATCATTATGAAGCCAGCGCTCCAATCCGCCTGGACGGCCCATGGCAGTTGATCCATCTGCCTCAGAAAGGGCAAATAGAATTTGAACAGCGACTGAAGTGTGCCAATAACTAAAGCCCTACGCCCTCTATAATGACAGAAACTGTGGAATCCTGGAGCGAGAACTGAGGGACAGGCACCTTGTTCTGGCCATCGCCTTTCTTCTGCATCTTGTCGGCAATCCAGCTGGGCCAATGGAGCGAATCGGCAACTCTTTGGCTTGCTGAAAAACCACAATGACCATGATGGGATCCCAGGTGCTAATGCAAACCTTCAAACGATATCCAGAAGATGCTCGGTCTCCTGCCTTCAAGTGACTGAAAAGATTCTTTAGTCCAAGATGCACCAGCAGGGGGTAATGCAAGTTGATTTTCTCTGACACGCAACTTCTTGCAGCAAGAAGCTCCAGCGACTGGCATGTAACATCTTTGCATGCATGCTGAAGCTGGGGATGTCCTTCATGGTTTCAGATTTCCGGCTAAGGTGAGTTCCTTGCACGAATACTGATAAAAATTGAAATGCTGTTTGACAACCATTGCCTCTAGAACGACTTGTACCACGGTGTTTCTCTGACATCTGTTCAAGCGCCCTGTGCGTGGATTTCCTTTTCGCAAGCCCTTTTCGATAACAACAAAAACGATGCCTGCCAACGCCGTAGCCAACTCCGGCACCAATTCCGACCTTTGAAAGGCGGGCATGAATACAACTTGCCGCCCAACTCAAGGATTAAGGGCAGTCTTCTGCGCGATTGGACCCACAACCGACTGTACCCGCAGGAAAATGGATGCAAAAGGTTGAAAAGCTGTTCTGCGGAACGACTTGAGTTTCTGAGAGTACCATGAGCCTGCATATCCTAAGGCACCCTGCATGGACTTTACAATCCAAGCTTTAAAGCCGCAGACACCGCATGGGCAAGCAGCTGGTACAAACGTGCTCGTTCGACTAGGCCCGGCACTCGAACTGCAAACCTACCAAGATCCCAAACTTTCTATGCCCTCATTGCCTGGTTTTTTCATCTGTCGAATGAACTTTGTAATCTGGTGAACCTCTGAACTTTCGAGCCCTAGACTTGGCTCGAAATGACTAAAGAGCATGGGGAGCTTGCGTAACATTGCTTGCAGATGACATGTTGAAGGAAAAAGCTAAGGATTGAAAATGCGAAGCATCGACTATTATTTACCAAACATGTTCCTACGTCGAACATAAACAACTGGAACTGCGAACGACACACTGTTCGCAGTGCCAAACTGTCGACTTCAAAGCTTTTGAAACTGCAGAAGCCTCAAGTTCGATCCGTTCGCAAAACAGCGAACCACACATTTTGAGGCACCCTTGATCGCTGAGCAAGAGTGGTTCCTTGAGAGTTCCTGAATTCATGGCGGTCAGCCGGATGGGAGAGACGTGTACCACCACCACAATCCAGCAGCCACATCCAAGAACGACCTCTCCCGCTAGAACCTTGTGAAATCTAAGCGATGCAGATGTTCTGCGTCACCTGTCAAGCCTACGTAGACGAAGACCGTCACCACCACTGAAGCAGATCCTTGAATCCAGCAAGCCTACGCCTACATGCGATACAAAACCCCGAAGCTTAGACCCAAAATGGCCCAAAACGTAATCTCTATACCTAAAATCGAAAATTCTGAATCTCAAATCCCAACACCTGGGACCCTTCAAGCTTATGCTTAATGTCTAGACCCCAAGCTGTAAAAACCTATACACAAACTCTGTCTAAACCCTGAAGCGCGAAACGAAACCCTTGAACGCTCACCCTCGAACAACAAAGCCTGAACCCCTGCAACACCAAAAACCAACAGCTCCCCCATGTGTCTGTTGAAAAGGCAGGCTCCAGCTCTTCCTCCACAGCCCGAATAGAAATGCCAGGCACCCCACCAGGCCCAGTGTAGTCATGGAGGCGATCCCTGTGATCCAGTAGACTGCCGCGCCCACGCCGATGGCAGGGAGAAGGCCTCAAAAGCTTTTCGTGTTCAAGGGTTTTGAGGGCTCGACTTCAGGACTGATGATGCAATGCCAGAAAAACCTCTATCCTGTGGCCAATTGAGTGGGAAGCAAGAAACGATGTTCAAATGATGATGTAGGGGGCTCTTCTGCTGCCCGTTCTGACATGCCTTCCTGTACATCCTTTGAGCTTCTGAAAATGATCTTCATGGGATCCGCTTGTCCTTCGAGCTAGAGCGTGCCAGAGAGAGAGAGAGAGAGAGAGAGCGAGCGAGAGAGACAGCACATCTGTCCAACCACACATGCTGTGCCGAACGGAGCCTCTGAGTTTGCAGAAGTTTCTCTGGCACTGCTACGCTCACCCCGCATGGCCTTTGGACCTGAGAGGACGCGATTCATCATCCTGGCTGCCTGCCAATGCTCTGATCTTGTCATGGGGACTGGGATGCGGGAACAGCAGTTGTTGTCTGTCCGCTCTAAAACCCATCTAAGAACTGTTAGAGCCACCGCTTAAATGATGTGGCAGACTGCAGCAGCAGCAGCAGCAGCAGCAGCAGCAGCAGGAGGATTCGGTTGACTCTCAAACTAAAATCGTCATCACCAAGAGGAACTGAGCCACCAGAAAGAACAGATGCAATGACTGCAAGCAACAGAACTTACCTGATCTTCCTGAACCCTGCGTCATTGACTCTAAGCCCACTAGCTTCACTCAAGCAAGGACCACTTTGCCTTGGCTGGAGACGCTGGGTCTTGGGACCGACCTTCACGATGTTTCAGAGAGACCAACTGATTTGCAAGAGTGCAATAGGATTTCTCGCTTAGAGTTTAGTATTTACGAGGTCTGCCCCACGCTCCCTACCTGTATAGAGACGTATGTTATATTAATATGGTGTGGGATGAAGACGGAGACCTGTGACTCACGTAGAGGATAGCTCCTATCAGGGGGCTGCTTACAGGAGCACAAAGTCCTCAAGCAGTGAGCTTCTTGTGCAAAACTGGCCAGTTGCACTCAGGTTTCGGGGTACTCTCGTAACATCGAAGAACAAGAGTTCTGAATAGCTCTTCACCATTCTAGAAACCGTGTGCGGATCTGAGCTGTCAGCATGGCTTCGGTCGAGAACCTCACTAGCGATCATTGCCCGCACTTGCCCGCCATCTGACTGGACATGTATGACGTTTCCTAAACTGCCACGCACCTGAGGCTCGCGCACGTCAAATGAATCGCACTATGGCTTTGAGCCCCCAGCTTGAACACTTTTTCAGAAGCTGCAGGGGAGCGCGGGCATCAACTGGACCAACCATCTTTGTCTTCGTTCATTGTCAAGTATACCTACATACATCAACATAAATCCAAGAGTGGAGAACCGTATGCGCACAGCATCCAGCATTCAAACCCCCTTGCATACTGACCAGTGCAGTTGCCGTTTGTTCCTGATTGGGCATGATAAAGGAACAATGATGGTGGTTCTTCCTGAGGGCACCCACGTACTGTCTACTGCAACACATAAGGATAATAAGGTGCAACCAATTCTTCCACAAGGCAAACGCAGATGCGGGAATGGTAGCCCGGCTGTCGGTTTTGTGCTGTCCGTAACAATCGCGGCCATTCATCATCATAAAAAGTGCTTGCAACACATAAGCTGTATAGACAAGCGCATCCAAGGAAGAGATGATATACTATGCTCAGAATTGCTTCTTGGCTTTAACAGCTTTTGGGCCATTCGTCGGAGCCGCGGTTGAAGGCACAGACGCGTGCGTCTCACGTGATAACCTTCTACTCCAGCCGTGGTCCTCTCCCCCAACCAGCTTCAGTCAACGCAACACCGGGAGTTGTTGGAGAGTCTGAAGGCTATGTCCGACCTGCTCTCATACCTTACGAAGGCTGACACCTTGACATGCCTCCAGCGGAGGTCAAGAAACTTCCAGGCCCCATATGCAATGGCTGTCAGATGTTGTGAGACATTCCGTTCTGCGGCGGTCCACGACTGGCGGATTCATTAACAGAAAAGGCGGCTCAGAGCTCATCATCCTCAGTCATGAGACTTGAGCTCAGCACCAGAAGGCCCTTGCAGCATGGGAGGCCTCAATCATGACCTTGCTCGTCGCCGCCCTCAACTTTTGGGCCTGCCGGGATTCTGTCATTAACAATAGCAGCATCATGATGTAAACCCTTGGCAACAGAAACAAAAAAGAGCACCTGACAAGGACCCTGGCTAAGTCTACAAACCCAGGCAAGGATTTAGATACTGTGGCGAAATGCCAAAAAGCTCGTAGCACATCGATGCCTTATATTTCTTGAACAAGAAGCGCTAATCGCTCCTGAAACTTTCGCCTGAACTCGCTTCACATACAATGTGGCTGGGCCGGTTCCCCCATGCTCGGAATACCTATACTCTGCTCAAACTTGGTCAAGACTGCAGTCTAGACACGAGTGAGTAGCGTTTGAAATATCTGGCTCCTTCGGGCCCATAGATGTTCATACCCCTTGAAGCAAATAGAGGAAAAACTACACAGCTCTGTAACTGGCAGTTTATCACTGACCATTCCGGAAAACTCAAACATGAGAACCCAACCTCAAACCTTCCAAGCTATGGTACGGACCTCCTGCTTGGCCACGGCAGCATCTTTGGCACACCTGGCACTAGACATCGGATCGTTTCAACCGTTAGGTTGAGGCTTGCGAGTTGAAGCTTGGAGTACTTGAGGACACGAAGGCCTCATTGCTTGAGAATGGGCTTCTGGCAGTCTAGGAGCAACCTGCGTGAATTACGGAACCTACATGAGCGCGTCTCGGTGCTGCCGAATCCAATTGCACTGATGGACTGCCAACCACAAGGAAACAAGCAGCTACCACGAAGGATTTCGAGACCGGGGAATTTCCAAAGGCAGAACGACTACAAGACCATTTGCCAACAACCTCCGCAAAAAAGTATTTTGGAATTGGAGTCTTGGAGTACATTGAACACATGAAGGAACTGAACAGATCGGCTTAGCATGGAGCATGGGCCTGCAGTAAATCTGGCAGTCTAGCGCGCCTCATCTTATGTCATCTAGAAGCAGCGAGAACACATGTGGAGATGTCTCTGGAGGTCAAAGTCTCTTTGCGTATCCCCAAAATCTTGCATCCTGCCCAGGATCCAACATAAACAGTTTGCGTGCCTGGCTGCTTCGACTGAGGCTTCCTGGGAGTCCCTGTCTGCTTGCGCGGAGTAGTCCTCACACTTGTTGTCGGAAAATGCAAAAACTTTACAACGTTTTTAAAGCAAGGACCTTCAAAGATTCCACCATGCAGGGTGTATGGTGAGGGTTCAACGCTCAGGGTTTGAAGGTTGGTGACTGGTCGCAATGAATGTAGAACGATCTGGGATGCAGTCAAGACCAAGGGCTTTGGTATCGTCTGCATGGTCTCAGTTTGTCCCTGCTATGATATATGCATGCACTCAGCTTTCAACTCGACTTTAAACATCCTAGGAACTTTGGAACATATTGGTTTACAAGCAGCAGGAGGGATGTACTGACGTACTTGATCGGGTCCCAGTTGTGCGAACACCGCCTCAAGAAGGAGCACAACAACAGCCGTTGCTGATGAAATAAAAAATTGGTTTAAGGTCATGTCAGGAATGCAACTCCCCCCTCGAGCTTGCTTGCAACATGCAACAGGCAAGTCGACCAGTCAAAGTAACTCAGGGCGGGTGATTGACCACAGTTTGTGGCCGTCTGCTAGATCCCTCCAGAGTCTCAGTCCTTGCGCCAGTCGAAATGTGGAGACTTCTATGATGTCGTAAGTGCAAGCAAGACCCTGCAATGAAACAAGCTCAGCCTTGCAGCCACATCAAACCATGCTCCAACCAAGCCCTTAGTGTTGCAGCTGCTGGCCCAAAACTTTAACAACAGAACCCATGATGCAGTTTCCAAACCAAGGGGGCGGCAGCACAATCTCTTGATGTCTGATGCTTGCAGCGAATCCCAGCCCCCCGTTCAAGCATCTTCCCAGTTCTGGACAGACAACCCCAGAACCCAAGCCTTACAGCCATCTCTCAACGTTCGGGAGCCTTGTATCGATCGGCCTCATGGGCCGCCTCCAGGGACGCCTGCTCCGCCTCTGCGGCCTGCGGAGGATTAAGGATTTGGGGTTCTGCGTTTTGGGCTTACTGCTTGAAATTAGATTTTTCTGACTGGCAAGACACCCACATTCTCGTGGCCTTTGGATGACTTGGGACACTACCCAAATACCCCTCGCATCATCACACAAAGTTGTCGTGTGAAGTCAGGAGACGACAGCTTGAGTTTCTAGGATGTACTACGTTGGGTGCACTAAGGGGGCCTGCCACTGGCTTCATGAAATGAAGGCTTTGGACTCGGTGCCATGTCGCAGGGTTGAGGGCCATCCCACGTCCGCGCTCAAGGTAAAGAAATCTAAGCAAGCCTAAATCTATAGAGCAGTGCTTCTGCACTACACCTTTGCCAGTGTTGGGCCAGAATGCTCAGATCTTCCCTCCATTCGAGAAAAAGAGTAGCACCATCTCTGAACAGCCATCTGCAAAATTCTCTGGGGGGCATACAAAGCCCCAAACCCTACACCCCAAGGAGTGGCAACAAGGGTAAGAGCCTGCCTCCCTCATCTTCCTCTGGGCTTCTTCTTGCATCAAGTGAGCCTGGCAATTGAAAAAAGCACCCGCACTAGGGGGCTTGTAAAGGGGGCGATCAGGTCTATATAAGGGCCTTGTAAGGGTTTATGGGGATTCATAGGAACAATGGACAAGAAACTGGAAGCTACCATTTTAAAATCCTGATCGCAGGAACGTGCCCAAAAAAGATATGGCCACAACATGGCCACAACCAAACCCTGCCCAAACCCAAGGTCTGCTTCAGGGTAAAGGGTTTAGGATAAGGTTAGGGTTTAGGGTTTAGGCCCTGCCTGTTTCTGCTTCTGCTGCATTGCCAGAGACACCTGATTCGGGATCGGACTCACTGTCATGCTACGATCCTGACTGCTAGAGCTACTAGAGCGGTTGCCGGACTACAAGGATCCTTATAGTAGCCCCTACAAAACCTATCATAGTAGTTTCCATTTTTTCCATTCCTTCATTCCCCACTGATCAAAGGTAAGCAGAGCAAGAATTTGGTCGGCCTCTTCTGCTTTTCGCTTCGCGTTGTTCATCCGCTCAGCTGCGCGGATCGCCTGAAAAGGCATTACTTACCTTTGGTTTGACAACGATTCCAGAATCTGGGAATGAAGGAATAGAAAATGGAAACTACTAGAATTGGGTTATATAGGGACTACTGCTAGCCAAAGGTAAGATCAGCTCAAGCCCCTCCCCCATGCGGCTGATCCTCATATCGCAAAGGCTACCCTTCAAGTTGTCGCTGCTGGCTACAGTAAATTCTAACTGTTGATACGCCTGAAATACAGGAACTTTGGGACCACATACTATACAAGTCTGAGGTCAGGCCGTTATCTTTTGGGCAGCGCAGGCGCTACAGCAACGATGCGTATGAAGTAGGATCATGTAGTTCCGAGCACGCTTTGAGAAACACTCCGTGCAGCTAGTGTTTGGACCAGCGAGGAACAAGGACAAACAAAAAACTGTACCCCATAGAATCCATCCTGTAGCTCTGTGCCAAGCTTTCCGAGCGCCCCTTTGTTTCAAGTTTGTGTCTGGCAAACGTGGACCTCAGATTCACAGGAAGCCCTAATACCTATATCCGCCGACCCCTGGGGC